ACCTCGGAAAAAAAAAACCCTCCGCCCTCTTTCTAAGGGTGCCGTACTATTTGAGGGACCAAAGGACCCAAACTTAGAGAGCGACCCGGATCCTAAACCCTCAGCCTTGAAAAGGACATTGAGCTTGGCTGAAGGTGAGAATCTTATTGTTTAGGGTTTAGGTTTTAGAATCTCTTCTGGCTCTCCATGCAAAAGCTCCCCAATCCATACAATCGGACACGGCGGCGAGAGAAGATTGCTGACAAACCGGTGGGTCTCTTACCGCAAATTCTTTGAACCCTAAACCTAAGCTCGAACCTCAGACTCAAACCCGTAAGGGGTTTGGGGGTTTAGGGGTAAAGCTTAATATAGGGGCCTAAATAATTTACCTTTGGGGGTTTACTTGCTAGAATTTTAATGTAATATACCCCCCCAAACCTTATTCTAATTCTTAAGGCCCCTAACATAAACCCCTATCATAGATCCCTTATAGAACCCTTTAGGGAGCCCTGTAAAGGAACCCTATTCTGAGCATTGCGGCCCCTGCATTATGCCTGAACCTCTCGCTATTCCCTGAACCCTAGACCCTAAACCCTAAACCTCTCGCTATTCCCTGCGCCTAATAAGGAGCAGCTGACAGACCAGTTTGCAGCATTCGAGGACAGGCGCAGATGTTGGCAAACAGGGCCACGCTTTAGAGTTCAGGGTTTTGGGGGTTTAGGGTTTAGGGTTTAGGGTTTAGGGTTTAGGGTTTGGGGTTTAGGGGTTTAGGGGTTTAGGGTCTAGGGTTTTAGGGGCTTTTCCTCAACCCTAAATCGGTGATTGAGTTTCGGCTTCAGGGCTGCGGGTTAACAGAAAAAGGCGTTCGAACCCTAACACTTGAAATCCGAAACTCCCTAAACTTTAGGGTTTAGGGTTTAGGGTTTCGGGTGTTTAGGGTGTAGGGTTTAGGCGATAAGCCCTAAACCGCAAACCTTAAACTAAAAACTCTAAATTCCAAAACCTTCAGACTCAAAGGAAATAACCCCAGCCAGCACCTCTGCTTCTCCCAGAAACCTAAATCCTAAACCTTTAGAAACCTCAACCCTTAAATCTTAAATCCGAACCTCTATGTATACCTTACACCGCAAATCCTTGGCCAAAATTCATCCGCAATTTGATGTTTCTTGGGCTTAAGGTTCAGAGCTTATATTAAGCCATACTCTACGATGCTAAACAACATTGTGTTGTTGCATATTATGTTCGATATATAATCCTAAACCCTAACACCTTAAATCCTAAAACCTACACCTTAAATCCTAAACCCTATACCCTAAATCCTAAACCCTAAAAGCTAAATCCTAAGCCTTAGATCCTAAATCCTAAACCCTAATCCGAAATCCTAAACCCTAAATCCGAAATCCTAAACCCTAATCCGAAATCCTAAACCCTAAACCCTAAACTCTAAAATCCTAAACCCTAAACCCTAAACTCTAAAATCCTTAACCCTGAACCCTAAACTCTAAATCCTAAACTCCAAAACCCTAAACCCTTTCGGGTTTAGACGGTTTAGGGTTTAGGGTTTAGGGTTTAGGGTTTAGGGTTTAGGGTTTAGGGTTTAGGGTGAGGAGAAGCTCACCCCTCTCTTCGGCTTGGCCCCGCGGCTGGGCGATCTGGAGAGGCCCGGAAGGGCGGGGTTCTCCACGGGGGTTTAGGGTGTTGGGCTCCTTTAAATCTTCTAAAGGGGTTTAGGGTTTAGGGTTTAGGGTTTAGGGGTTTAGGGTTTAGGGTTTAGGGTTTAGGGTTTAGGGCTTAGGGTTTAGGGGTTTAGGGCTTAGATAGCCAATGGGAGAACTTTAAACTTTTTGGCCTTATATATGAGGTTTGTCCCAAAAAGTTTGAACTTTTTTGGACCTGGTTGTTGAAGAAGAGAGAAGGGGGTTTAGGGTTTCGGGTTCCTTTAGGTGTTCTGTAGGGGTTTGGGGATGAGGGGCCTTCAGACAGTGTTTTGGGGCCTCTGGGGTCTGGGGTTGGGTTTTAGGGTTTGGGGTTGAGGGGTTTACCTGGACCCTGCCTCTTTTAGGGTTCTTTATGATTCGATGATTTCCTTATAAAGTCCTTAAGAAGGTAGGATCCTCAAGGGTCTAGGTAGGGTTTAGGGTTTAGGGTTTGGGGCCTCTAGGGCTAAAGGCCGCCCTCAGAGGGTTCTCGAGTTTGGGGTTGTCTTTAGACCCTAAGCCACCAAGCACTTATAGCCTATAGCCTGTCTCATCCTTATGGGATCCTCCTAGAATCCTAAACCCTAAACCCTAAACCCTAAACCCTAAAACCTAAACCAGAATCCCCATAGGGACCCCTATGATTCTGGGTCATGGCGGGATTCAGGGTTCCCGCTGACCGGAAATGTAGGGGCCCAGAAAAACTACCACTACTATTTTGGTGGCTCCTTCGCATAGTTCTAGTATATAATGGGCCCCCAACAGCCAAGTCTAGTAAAGAGGCCCCTTTGCTAGGGCTCAGGGGTTTGAGTTTCGGTGTTTAAGATTAACCCCTGCATGACGCCTGTAAGCCACCAAACCTCAGCCTGGAACACCGACATTTGGGTAGCTTTCTAAATCAGGGCGCCTTTCAGTGTCCTTTTTATAAGGGTGTCGTACTATCTGGGGGACCTAAAAAGGGATCCTAATTTAGAGAACCACCCATTTTTTGATTATTAGTCTAGCATACAATCCTCCATAAACCCTATTCTGATGATGGAGGCCTTTATGTCAAACCCCACAAACCCTTTATAAGCCCCAAGCCCCAAACCCGAAACCCCAAACCCAAAACCCTAAACTACCCTATAAGCCCTATAAACCCTAATGTCCCTTGAAACCCTAAACTCTATATACCCTATAAACCCTAATGTCCCTTGAGAACCCTCAAGCCTGGGGCAAAGGCAGGCCAGTGAGGCTCGACGAACACAGGCGCCCCTGCTGGGGGTTTCCGAAAATAGGGGACCCTAGTGTAGTAGGGTTTAGGGTTTAGGGTTTAGGGTTTAGGGTTTTTAGTTTTTAGGGTTTAGGGTTTAGGGTTTTGGGTTTAGGGTTTAGGGTTTAGTACCCTAAATAATAGGATCCTCATTATAAGGGCTCCAAAGTAAGGTACCCCTTGTTTCCGGAAACTCCCTGCTTGTGCTGGAGAGTTTGTTTGATATAGGGTTTAAGGGTTTAGGGTCCCTACTTGGAGGGTCGGGAGACTTAGTAAGTAGGTAATAAGTAGACTTATAAGTACTTTAAAAGGGACCCTTATTGGGGTTATAGTACTTATAAGTCTATAAAATAACCATTTACTAAGTCCCCCGACCCTCCAAAACCCTAAACCCTAAGGTGCTGGGTTTTAGTGGGTTTGTCGGGGCGTAGGTTTGTGGCCTCAGGTTCGAGCTTGAGGCTTTGGGGGCCTTTAGAGTTTTTTGCGCCTTCAGGGTTCAGGGTTTACGAGGGTTTGTGGGTTGGGGATTGCAATATAGGGGCCTTAATTTTTTTTTGAACAAGGTTTCCGGGCAGATTATACTATAATTATAACAAGGAGCCCCACCCAAAACCCTGATTATCAAGGCCCCTACAGTACGGTTTGAGGAGTTGGGGCTACGTTGGGCTGGTTTGGGGTTTCAGGGCTCTTCGGAGGTTGGGGTTTGAGGTCGGAGGCTCCAGAGGCAGCGCAGCTACATCCTCAACAGCCTCAACAGATCCGCTATGTTGCAGGGTTTGGGGTTTAGGGTTTTGGGTTTTTGGGTTTGGGGGTTTAGAGGTTTAGGGTTTTGGGTTTGGGGTTTCCAGGGTTTAGGGTTCATAAGGCCCTTGGAGTGTCAGGAAGGAAAGACTCTTAGTAATGATGCCTAGGGTGGCAGGCTCTCTCCCCTGTTTTCCTTCGGTCTCGAAAGAACCTGGGCCGTTGAAAGCAGCATGCACGGGGAAACACAAAAGGCCATGGTATGAGAAACGCGTCGCACCTTTTGGGAGTTCACCGTGATCTAGGGTTATAAGCAAGGCTCATATGAACCCTAAACCCTAAACCCTAAACCTGGGCGGTTTATGTGTTGAGGGAACCCTCCACACCAACCGCCGGACGGTGCAGGGCAGGGTTTAGGGTTTAGGGTTTAGGGTTAGGGCAGGGTTTGCAGGAGCAGGGTTTCGGGTCGCATTGTTGCGCCCAGTCGGAGATAATCTAATTGCCCCCCCCCGATTCTTTCACCCTAAACCCTATAAACTCTAAACCCCTAAACCCCAAAAGGCCCTAATTCCTCAACCCTAAACCCTGAACCCCTAAACCCTAAACCCCTAAACCCCTAAACCCCTAAACCCCTAAACCCTAAACCCTAAACCCCTGAACCCCTAAACCCCTAAACGCCAACCTATATCCCCAACTCCCAGAACCAGGAGCAGCTACAA